TGAGGAAAGAGAGAGAGAGAGAGAGAGAGAGAGAGAGAGAGAGAGAGAGAGAGAGAGAGAGAGAGAGAGAGAGAGAGAGAGAGAGAGAACCAACCCAGGGGTTGCAAAACCTTATATGAAGCAGCACCAGTTCGCTATCTTCTTGTGTATGCACCACACTCTTCGATAGTTCGCCCTATCAATCTTATATCAGAATTTTGGACTCGATGGAGATCCGTGGGAGAAAATCCAGCCGGGACGAGTCTGGACTCGTTCCGGTTAAACTGGTCAATAAATCAGAGCTTTCAACACCAGAGGGCTTTTGGTAGAATTACTGTTATGTATAAATTCAAGTCTCTGAAGGTTCTCTCATCTGGTCCAACTTCGTGGAGAATCAGAAGTTGACAACTACAACACAAGACGCTCAGTCATCACCAACTTCATGCTGATAATGCTTTTCTCCAAAAAAAATCACTCCATCAGGGATATACTGACTATACATTCATACACTGACTCGCTTCTGGAACACGAACACCCAACACGATAGACACACGTGAAATAAATTCAACCAGCCATATGAAGATAGAGTTGGCTCCTGTACCTTCCTCGATAGTTACTTTAAGCATTTCATTAGATTCATTGCTAATGAATTCAAATATCAAGATCATCAAATAAGTGAGTTTCTAGGATCAAGGTTCAAGTGAGCTGATGGTGGGTGACAGCTCTTAGCTTGCTGCTTCATTAGGAATATCAACACCATTCATAATGATCCCTAATTAATCTTAGTGTACAGAAAAAAGAAAATTAGCGAGAGAGAGAAGGAAAGTAAACACATTAGGGAATGAAGTAAACAAAGAAATTATCTTCATGCTTAATTTCCTCTCCCTCTCCTCTCTCTCTCTCTCTCTCTCTCTCTCTCTCTCTCTCTCTCTCTCTCTCTCTCTCTCTCTCTCTCTCTCTCTCTCTCTCTCTCTCTCTCTCTCTCTCTCTCTCTCTCTCTCTCTCTCTCTCTCTCTCTCTCTCTCTCTCTCTCTCTCTCTCTTCTCTCTCTCTCTCTCTCTCTCTCTTCTTACCTCCACCCTTCCCCCTACTAACGAGATCGCTCCTCCTGCCTCTGCCTCTCCTTCCTCCTCCCTCTCCAGGAGACACAAGACTACAGCTTCGGACCAAGGCTGCGAAAAATTGGAACCCGTAAACCTTGTGCGTAAACTCGCCTTAAAAAATATCTTTCTCGTAAATCTTTAGAAAGACAACTGCCAGTGTAGGTCATACTATAATATATCCCTGAAGGACTGGCTTTCATTGTAACGGGTTGAAGCAGAATGTCACTTTATATTACTACGTAATTGGCATGCTGGATCTGACAGTCTGTTTGTTCCTCATAATGCATAATGAAGTCCTGGATATAATTTGTTGGATTTTTTCGTTTTCTGTATTCTTTGTGTATGATTTTAGTTGCAGCTTATTGTATAATATATTAAGTCTTTATGGGCTCTTTATCTCATTGAGCTCTTATTTCTTGGGAATATGTAACCAGAAACTGCTGAACATCATTTAGCATGTTATGATAAATGAAATAATATATATAACTGAATCTTTGTTGCGTCAAATTATGCTTTTCTGTAGCTTCAAAGTATGCTACCTTACAGAGTTAGATTATGCGACCTATATTAACACCTTCATGACATACCATATTGGGCATAGAAACACGTGCCCGAGTCTCTCTGCCCCATCTTCACCCCTTCTTTCCACACTGTAACTGCTGACCAACTCAATGGGGAGGAACAAATATTTTAGACATGACTTCGTGAAAATCACAAGTGGAAGCCTCTATAAAGTCAGGTTTTTCTTAGAGCATTTCACTTGGGTCGACACCGGCTGTTCTATGACACTCCAGTACCCAACATGATTCATCTTGCAAAGTTGGGTGAGGGCTAGCCTAAAGCGCCTGGCTTCCAGCCTCGAGCAAACACATGACTACTATGAACATTTCCTACAAAATGTCGACTTTGGTAACCTCTACTGCTCAAGATGCATCCTCTCAATCGTTGCGTTTTTCTTGCCTGGCCTGGAAAGCATACATATGCTTGAAGAAATCATTCACAAGCATATAATCTCTAATTATCTTATCGTCTGTCCAGAAAATAGAATTTGCTTTATTTTACACACAGTTGTACTGTGTTAGTCAGTTACACACTGACCACTTACCATTTGGTAATAATATATATTATTTAGTAATAAGATCAGCATGAATGCAAAAACAAGCGTGACTTAAGCATGAGTGATGCGCATATATGTGTGTAGCAGGTCTGCAGGATAGAGCATCTACAACATCAAGTCTGCAAAGAAAATAGGGTTTACCTTTGCCAGCTTAAATTCTCTAAGCTAGATTACTTTCCTGTCTTCCCAATCTCCTGTACCATCCCCCTCTACCTGCTCCCTGCTCCACACCACCTGCCCTTCATCAGAATCCACCTGCCTCCACCTGCCTCCACCTGCCTCTCTGCCTAAATCTATCCTCTCCTTCACCTCCTCCACATCAGAGTTACTTTGAAACTTTACATTATAAAGCACTTGTAACCTAAACCTCTCTTCGGTTTTACCAGTTAAGAACATTATACTTTTAGCAAAAGAAATCCTAATTTCATGACGATAAAATATATAAACTAATCATTTAATAATTACAAATTCAACAAACTATAGGAAAATAAATAATTACTATCAAATAAACAAAACATTCAATGAAAGCTGTAAGTTATTCACGTTAATAAAGTCAAGCCAGTAAAGAATAGTAAAGGAAACAAACCCATGAATCACATAATAAACCACTTAATTTTAGCTCAAACAAATAAGCCAAATACACATTTTCTGGTTTTCCTTCAGCGCTTACTCTAATGGTTTCGAACCCAAGAGCTTCGCGTCTCAGTGTATCAAAGGCTCCATTGAACGGCTAGTAAAAACGACATGAAAAATGGGGATGAATGTAATGGGAACAAAAGATCGAGGTAACGCAGGTCCCTATTGATGCTTTTGACGAGCCTGATACAATACGCCTACTTGAGGTCAATGGCATGGAGTGTTTGTGAAACAGAGAAAGAGAGGAACACGGAGAGAGAGAGAGAGAGAGAGAGAGAGACAGACAGACAGAACACATGAGACACGAACATCTGTGGGACAAATCTCGATTCTCTGTCCCAAGCTGTGACCTAAATACACGTTGCCAAACACATATATAGTACAAACACTCGTCATGCAACAAGTGTGTACCAGAATCACATCATGAAAACACATGTGTAGCACAGTCACATCATGTAACGCATGTGTAGCACAGTCACAACATCATGCATATATGTGTGTGGCACAGTCTCATTATGTAACACATCTGCAGCACAGTCAAGTCATGCAACACATGTGGATTGTGTACCACAGACACACCATGATACACATGTGTAACACTATCAAACACCTCTAATTTAATTTGTCCAAACCTGTTGAATGAATTTCCACCTTTTTTTTTTTTGTTACACCCAACGAAACTTTTATCCAAAATATGGGACTGGATCTGACATATTACATGGATTTGTTCCCGAACGTAAAATAGGGGATTTACGTGAAAGAGTTCGGATTGGAATATATAATAGCAACAAAAACAGGGATTTCACTTTCACTGACAATTTAGAATTTAGCCAATTTGCGTACTGCTAAATTGACTCATAATACGTAATGGAATGCATCCTATCAGTACGCAACGTCGTATTGGCTTTGCTGTGGAATGCAAAGTTGACTTTGAGGCAAATATTTGAAGACAACAATTTAGCTCCAAATGACTTTTGTTGACGAATTATACCTGCACGTAATCTCTGTGGATCATTATATGTATTCTTCTATACAGTGATTTTGGGGTATGTATACTTACAGACAGTTCTAAAGATAACCCATTCATGCATGTGAACATCTACTCATCCATCTTAATTATTCACTCATTTATCTACCCATCTACTCAGATTTCCTGCTGTCTCCGCTTCTACTTCCTTGTTAATCTCGACATCTCACCGAGAACCAGTGAGAGAGAGAGAGAGTGTGTGTGTGTGTGAGAGAGAGAGAGAGAGAGAGAGAGAGAGAGAGAGAGAGAGAGAGAGAGAGAGAGAGAGAGAGAGAGAGAGAGAGAGAGAGAGTCAGACAGACAGACAGACAGCCAGACAGTCAGATTGAAAACAATGCCAATTATAATAGACCTGAAAACTCTCTTCTGTTTCCCCATATTAACAGCTTGCAGAAAAATAGTCTAAATCCTGTGAGATGGGAAAGTGGGATTTTGTTTCACCGAGCGTGCAGAGGGATGGTAATAGGAGAAGGGAGGGAGTCGAAGGTGGAAAAGAAACAGGGGGCGCAGTAGGGTAAAAATCAGGGACAAGGGGTTCAACAAAGTGTGAAATAAGGGAGGAAATGGTGGCGAGATTAAAGGGAAAGGGGGATAGGAAAGTAAAGAATAGATATATGAAGGATCAAGCATGAACAGGCTATATTCAAGACCCCTTGTTATTCTTCCCAAAACGATAACCAGGGAAGCGATAGCAGTGGGACTAGAAGGTATAGGGAAAACAGGAGAATGGAAAAAAGTTTTTCCATTATCTAGGAAAACGATAGCTACGAGAACTGTAGTTGGGTTATGGTAAAGGGAATAGATGCTAGAGAGGCTTAGGATAGCTAGACAAGTGGTAAGCATGTGTTATGATAGCTAGAAAAAGGGGTAGGCATGGGTTAAGATAGCTAGAAAAAGTGGTAGGCATGGGTTATGATAGCCAGAAAAAGTGGTAGGCATGGGTTATGACATATAAAAAAACGGTAGGCATGGGTTACGATAGCTAGAAAAAGTGGTAAGCATGGATTATGATAGCTAGAAAAGGAGCAAGACTGGGACATGATATCCAAGGTAACGACAGCAAAGCAGATAGAGGAACGTTAGCCAAAGACTGATAATTACTCAAGTAGCGATATCCAGGGATGCTGTAAGCGAAGAAATGGTACCAGTAGCATACAGATGCTCGTGGTACCATTCCTTTGGTACCATACGAGCTAGAGGAATGGTACCAGGAGCATCTGTAACTAAAGGAACGGTACCAAGAGCACCTGTAACTAAAGGAACGGTACCAAGAGCATCTGTAACTAAAGGAACGGTACCAAGAGCACCTGTAACTAAAGGAACGGTACCAAGAGCACCTGTAACTAAAGGAACGGTACCAAGAGCATCTGTAACTAAAGGAACGGTACCAAGAGCACCTGTAACTAAAGGAACGGTACCAAGAGCATCTGTAACTAAAGGAACGGTACCAAGAGCATCTGTAACTAAAGGAACGGTACCAAGATCATCTGTAACTAAAGGAACGGTACCAAGATTAACTATAGCCAGGGAAAACGGTATACAAACGGGTGGTATCCAAGCACAACGGTAACCAGCAGAGAGCTAGGAGAATGATAGCCAAGTGAACGATAGCCAGGGGTAACGCTGCCGAAGGACATGGGAAATTTAAGGGTATAGTGGTCATGAATATGATAACCAAGGGGCACGGTTACCGGGGAAATGATTACCTTGTTCAGAGTTGCTATGGTAACTATAGTGAGGGGTCACTGTTGCCTAGGAAACGCCAGGGAAGGCCACAGTTGCTATGGTAACTATAGTGAGGGGGTCACTGTTGCCTAGGAAACGCCAGGGAAGGCCACAGTTGCCATGGTAACTATAGTGAGGGGGTCACTGTTGCCTAGGAAACGCCAGGGAAGGCCACAGTTGCTATGGTAACTATAGTGAGGGGGTCACTGTTGCCTAGGAAACGCCAGGGAAGGCCACAGTTGCCATGGGAACTATAGTGAGGGGGTCACTGTTGCCTAGGAAACGCCAGGGAAGGCCACAGTTGCCATGGGAACTATAGCTATGGGCTATCATCCTTTCCGATATCCACTAGTGAGTAAAATTATATTTTATATAGCAATGCGGTACAATTATCAGAAGGGGGAGGGTATTTTTCTCCGAAGAAACTCACAATGGATAAATTTCCAAGGATCAAGAGTCCCAGTGTCGCGTAACGGGGCAGAGTATGGTCTCAGGCTGTTTCTAATCTCGCTCTTTGTCGAGGAAAAAGCATTACTGTATTATTTCTGTCTTTCGAAATCCTGTCGGAAGGGGGCAGGACGAGAGAGAAGAGCCGCCCCCAGCGACTTTCCATTAGTGACGCGGGAGATCGACAGGTATTCTTTGTGGATAAAAGAATTTTTTTTCCGAAGAACGCGCTAGAATTTTCCCACCCTCATTGGTAAAGATTCAGAAGATGACAGTGATAATGGCACAGAAGAAGAAAATAGCAATTATTATTGTTTCCGGTCGAATTTAGTGGTCTGCGTTCGAGTCCTGGATGGAGAGGATTGACTAGAGGCTAGTCAACTGTTCGCTTCTGTTCACCTAGCAGTAATTGTGTAACATGGTTGTAAACTGATTGGCGGGTTCATGTTCCAGAGAAGACTAGTGGGTAAGGGTTACCATGAGATATGGGAAAACTACGCTCTCAGCCTGCTAACAGGAGTCAAAAGTAATCTACTCCTGTACCCACTTGCGTACAGACAAAACTATAAAGTAAAGAACAATACGTAAATGTCAAGTAGAACATAATAGAACATTGATTCAGAACCTTTATTGATTCAGATCGCATAGGACGCAGCTGAATTTTTATATAATCGACATAGACTCGACATGATGCAATAGACCTCATCTCACATTGTCGGAGAATCTATAATATCACTTTTTTTTTGACAAAGACTCGTCAAGGATGCAAAGTGAACCATTCCATCTCAAGGTGACTCAAGACCACTCGTTCCTGTGTAAGAAGTCCTTTATAGCAGAGACGTATGAACAACAGGAAAGAAAGTCAACCACGGGTTAGGGTTACCATGAGGGATGGGAAAAGAACGGCCTGCTAGGAGGCCTGCTTTGAGGAGCCGGTCGGCCGAGCGGACAGCACGCTGGACTTGTGATCCTGTGGTCCTGAGTTCGATCCCAGGCGCCGGCGAGAAACAATGGGCAGAGTTTCACCCTATGCCCCTGTTACCTAGCAGTAAAATAGGTACCTGGGTGTTAGTCAGCTGTCACGGTCTGCTTCCTGGGGATGGAGGCCTGGTCGAGGACCGGGCCGCGGGGACACTAAAAAAAAGCCCCGAAATCATCTCAAGATAAGCTCAAGATAAAGGGATATATTTATGATAAATTATTATAGCAATGGTTGGGATTGAACTTGCGTCTCTGGGTTCAACCACCCTTGGCCAAAATATTTCCTCACACCATGATCTGCTTCATGGGTGCCGATGCAATATATGATGTAATTATTTCTTGGGTAAAATCTACTTGGATAAAATGCCGATTTTTTTTTTTGGGGGGGTAGTATCTCTAGATTGGATAATATGTAATTTTTTTTAGGGAATGTAAAATTGTATATGATGCGAGTTTTTCTTCGGTAATATTTAATTGGATACAAGGTTAAAAAAAATTCTAGGATAAAATTTCATTGGCTATGATGCATTTTTTTGTTAATAAATTTTAGCCAAATTCTTAATACCAACAGTCTGATTATAATGCAAACTACAGACACTCTAGCATGGATTTATTGTACATAGTAACTACAACAGATAGCATGACTGTTCTATAGTTTGTGTGAATGTTCTGCATTATCAGATAACATATATTGACGCATCAGAATGTCAAAACAAATTAAAAAAAAAAAACATTGATTAGATTCTGTGTATACCAGCACATGCATTACCCAATCTATGATAATATACCTCTCTCTTACGGCTAAAAAACTATACAAACATATCATAAATAGCAGATACACTAAAGGCATTGTATACATGGTCAATAAACGGTAAATTCTTGAAATATACATGTATTTTAGGGAGCTGGAAGAATACCAGGAAATACTATTTCTTGATGTGATTCGAATATCAGTCGACAGGCAATGTAAGTCAGGCCATATGAAACAATCATATAGAGTGCTAGATATTAAGATATCTTGCATCACACCCAAATGAATCAAAATCCAGGTGTGTCAATATAATATCTCACTACGGATATACGATCCTCTTACAAACTGTATTATGTGATGCTGGCATAAAAGTTGAGTTCGCGTGTCAAATAAGCCCTGAAGCATATTAGATGTTTGTCAGGGAAATGCTGAACCTGCAAGGCCGAATGACACCGTAGGGTTTTTCAGACCGAATGACACCATAGGGTGTTTTAGACCGAATGACACCATAGGGTGTTTCAGACCGAATGACACCATAGGGTGTTTCAGACCGAATGATACCATAGGGTGTTTTAGACCGAATGACACCATAGGGTGTTTTAGACCGAATGACACCATAGGGTGTTTTAGACCGAATGATACCATAGGGTGTTTTAGACCGAATGACACCATAGGGTGTTTTAGACCGAATGACACCATAGGGTGTTTTAGACCGAATGACACCATAGGGTGTTTCAGACCGAATGACACCATAGGGTTTTTCAGCCCGAATGACACAGAAGGGTCTGTCTAGCCGCATGACACCATTCTGAAGGCTCCATGGCACCATACTCTTGGCTCCAAGGCACCATATTTGCTCCTAGATCCCATGGCGCTATAAGGTCTGCCAGGCCTCATAATGTCACAATAAATAGGAACACAATAACGAAAATAACTCAAAAAAGAAAATGTCGCGAACAATAAAAACTAAACAATATAATTAAACAATGACCAAAGCTTCACAAACGATAACAAAAACATTACAGTCAATAACCAATGAACACTAACAATATCAAAAAATATCAAACGAATCAAAACAACAACTATGAAAGATAACGTACATTGGCAACAATTACAGCTTCCTCGTTAAAGTTTCAGCCGCACTGACCTACAATCAGCGTTAAATGAAACTTTAGGGGTAAAACGATATCACGACACTGCAAGATTCAGGGAGAAAATTACTTAAAATTGAGTCAGGAAACCATAAGTCTAATTTACACTTAAGTTCAGACTCCTTCTTATTCAGGAAAGCGAGAGAGAGAGAGAGAGAGAGAGAGAGAGAGAGAG